CCAAATATAAATACTATAAATATAGAATTATATCAAGTTTTGACATACGATATAATAACTATTTACAGCAAAAAAAAAAAAAATAGACACCTACTTTTACACACTAAAAACTATATTATAACCTAACTGTTCCTATAAACCTTACTTCGCATATAAATAACATTTAACACATTAGATATACAATATTTTCACTTTACACTCTTACTACATTCTTTCCATTTCATTAATATTTGGTGTCATTAGAAGAATCCACTAAATCACTAAATCGAAAAAAATATACGCAAACATAATGATTCCGGCCCCGCGCTTGCGCGGGGAGTATACAACTAGTTAAATATAAAATGCAGTTGAAGATGCTCTTAAAGTATATTCAATGGTGAATATGTGAATGGATATTTAAAAATAAAAAATCAGAAAAAAGGTGGAGAAAGGTGGGAAACCAGTTTTCAAATAAGATTCCATTAGATATCCTTTAGAAATTCCAATAGTCATGTTGTCAATTTTAAATGGCTGAATTTATGAATAAAAGTTTTTTTAAAAAAATTGTTGTGAAAAAACGCATTAAATTAAGAGTAATTGCATCCTATATAAACAGAATAAAGACTATTTAGGTATGTGGTATGTGTACTGTTTATATTTCAAAAATCCCCATGATGCCCCTTCTACTCCACTTTTTCCAGATTCAAATTCTCTAAACTTTCTACTCTATAGAAAGGTTGCGAGTTGGGACCAAAATGCAAAGTTTCTCTCGTTTAAGTCTCCTTCTTCTCTGCTTCACCACTTTTATCACTTTACCCTTTCCAATACGTGCAAAAACACATCATAACACATCAAAGTTCCAAAAAACAGAGATCCACAGATTCCTTTAAGAACCGTCCAGAATCCCCAATGGTTATCCCCTTTTCATGCGCGAATCCCTGCGAGAAAGAGACATAAAAATACATTATTTCTTCGATTCTCTCTATTTAAAGTTTCGATCTTTGCTCGAATCTCTCGCCATGGTTACTGAAGCTTGGCTTATGAAACTGAGAAACCAAGTAAGCACCAATCTCTCTCTCACCATTTCTGATTCTCTTCTCTTTAAATCACTTCACCAGTTTTTTTTTTCTTTCCTAGATTTTCTCGGGAAAATAATTGTTTCCTTCTCACTTGCTTTATAACAGTCTTTATTTTTCTAAATGTACCTGTTTTTTTGTTAAATCATCGAAAAGGCTCCGGC